TCTACACAATTTCAGAGTTGCCAATATCGATGTTTATCGAATTATTTTTGATTTGAATTAAGACTATAATTGAATAAAAAATAATTCTGAACAAAGTAACGTAATGTATCGCTTGACAATAATTTGTTAGTAAATATAAATAACACAGATCTTCGTTATTTAATTATTTGTTTTTGAAAAATCCCAAATAGATAACTGCAGAAATACATTTGTTGTTATCCATTACTGCATCGCAAAAAATTATACTTATATCTTTTTTATATAATATTTTATTTCTTTCGAATAAATAATCTGCATCAAGTATAAACAGATATTTTTAAACAGTTATAACATGCCCATAATCATAAGTTTGAGATACGTTTCTTTTATAAACATATTTCAGACAGTCGGACATTAATATTGTTTGTGATAAATCCTAACCTTATTTAAATGTCACGCGCGTAATTAATGAAAATATAAAAGAAATGATTGGAAAAATTTATTTAACCTTCTCTCTTTCTGCTTACTCTTTTAATATAAAAAATTAACAAACAAAAATTTTTAGAGGCAGATTGGCAAATCAATAATTGATATTTGAAATTAATAATTAAAATATAAATAACTGATTTTCTGAATTGCTTCCTTTTCACATAATATACAAGTAGGAAGTGCATTTTTGTACATCACATCTACTAAAACAACATATGCTAACTTTTTCTTAGTTTTCTTTAGATTTTAAACTAACAGTCCTTCCATTTATTTATACCAAACATGCTTTAATTTGATTCCATTTTCCATTGCGTTTTAAGAGTTGTCGAATGGATAGAAAAGGACACTACAGAACAATAAATATCCCCTTTTAGCTGGGAACATAGACTCCCCACCGGTGATCGAGTATAATTCTTTCCACGCCATTTCAACTTTTATTCAATACTAGATATAACGACCTTTATATTCTGCTACTTTACCATACTTATCCTTTTAGATGAGAAGTGCTCTCAGAGCGCTGGGTCTTCAAACTATTCACCCTTGAGATGGGAACAGAGCCTCCCCATCGATGGGATCGAGTCAAATTCTTTCTTCTCCATTTCAACTTTTATTCAGTACTAGATATAACGACCTTTATATTCTGCTACTTTACCATACTTATCCTTTTAGATGAGAAGTGCTCTCAGAGTGCTAGGTCTTCAAACTATTCACCCTTGAGATGGGAACAGAGCCTCCCCATCGATGTGATCGAGTCAAATTCTTTCCACTCCATTTCAACTTTTATTCAAAACTACATATAACGATGAGATAGTTTATACTCTGTTACTTTCCCATGCTACCATTTCTTTTTATTGGGGGGGGGGAGGGGAGATCGCCAATTTGTGGCCAGCTGCTTAGTGTACAATCGTTTTACTACACTCCTTGTTACACTTGCATGACGAACCAAAATCATTCTTCGAGGATGGGTGAACCGATTGTCAGAACATATGTGTTCCGATTCTATACGGTAACATTGTCCGTTTATATTTTCAAGCTTTTGAAAACTACCCGCCATATAAGTTTTACCAACTATCTGCTTTCTCTTGTTGCAACGTTTGGCATTTTTCTGATCTCGAAAATTCTGTTCTGATTTTTTCATATTTCCTTACCCAAAATCTTATGAAGTATTTACTGTGTTAATTGAATATGTTGAACGAAAAAGGAACTTGAAATATTCAGAATTTTGTTCAGCAATTAATTAAATAAAAATATAAAATTTAATAAAGGTTGAAACCTTTTCAGAATACATATCTGTGTTGTATACCAGTATGCGGTTGCAACAATTGTATTGATTATTGATGTGAAAACTCTTTTCACACTTTATTATAAAAAAAAAAGTAAAGCTAAAAAGGAATTTTTTATTGGGAGTCAAATTTTTGCAACTATTTTTTACTGGAAAATAATGCTTATTCCTTTGATTGTCCGTTAATTTTTAAAAATCCCTTTCCATTTGCTTATTTTTCTAGATTATTTTATTTGGATAGAGTTAATTTTAAAAAAGAAAGTTTAAAATCTTAAAAACAAATCAAGTTTTTTTTTTTTACCAAACTGTTGCTTAATAATGTATGCCCATGTCATGTTACAGTTTTGCAATCTCTGTAAGATTCGGCTTGGAGCCAAAAACCTGACTTTGAAGGGCAAGCCTAATATTCTCCGTTTATGCCAGTGCCTTCAAACCAAATAATTACTTTTCTAGTTTACACATCATGTTACATGACAATTCTGAAGCCTAAATCAATTCGATACTCGATTCACTAAATGGTATGTTTAAGTATGAAAACGTTATATGTAAAGGTGGGCAATGCATTTTAGTGACGAACTAAGCCACCTTGGCTGAATATAAGAAACATTCAAGTTACTTGTTTTTAAAAACATTTGCTATTGCACGATGTCAAAATTTTCTAAATTCTAATTGTCCAACTTGTTAGGCTTTATAAGAAAAATTTATTAAAGTCAAACAGGTGTGACGGGGCTTATCGCGCCTTTTCACTAATCATCTTAGGGAATCTTTGGGGCCAGAATGGCATTTCAATCCAACCTTCTCAAGAAGAAAACGCGATATGCAGATTAGTGAATGATTACATGTATTGGAGCTTTTGCATTCGCGAGGAAGTCAGCTGGCGGTCGGGGAGTATTATAGGAGCCATATAGAAGTCGGTTAGAAGCCAAAAAGGGGCATAGAAGCTGGATCAAGTCTGATAATAATATATAGAGAAGATTAATATTAAAGGAATAAAGTACAAGAGGAGGATATAAAGCTCGGTTGCTGATCGCCGTGTGATATCGGTAAGAGATTGATTATTAACGTTTAATTATAGAGCGGACTCTAGCTAGTTAAGGAATCTGCTATAGATAAAGATACGGAGGTTAATTTATCACAAAGATAGTGAGTAGGATTTCAGGCGCTAATTTAACTTAGTATTAACAATTACGTCGTATCATTCCTAGTTTTTTTTCCTAGTAAGACTTGTGTTGCTTTGATTAATATATATTGAGATAATAATAAACTAGAATTATTATGGAAGGTTCGAGTGGTCGATTATTTATCCCTACAAATCTAGGTCGTGTGGATGAAGAGATGATACCCCCTGGCAGGGGGTATCGCAATGGCGCCCAACTCATTTTGCTCAAGGGCAGTTAAATTTCCCTAACCCCGAGGTAGGAGTTGGTTCAGGTGTAAGGGTCTTACCCAATTTTTTTTTTTTCTGGATCCGAGAATGTGGATCATTTTCTTAAGGGTATTGAAAGCAATCTCATATTTTATCAGATACACACAAGTCTAACTTGTGCATATTTGAAGGGTCACCTCACGGGGCGCGCTAAAGATTGGTACGAGATAATAGGCTATGCCCTGGTGAAGGGTGAGGAAAATGATTTCGATCAGTTAAGACAGGCGTTGAAGGAAAGTTTTCCGATTGTACGAAATAAGGCAGAATTATAGGCCCGGTTTTTCGCGTCTTGCCAAACTAAGAATCAAGCTCCGGTGGATTTTGTTTATGAATTACTTAAGTTTCAGAAAGCCCTTAAGAGTTAGAAATGGCAGAGTTGAATTTAATTCAACATATTGCTAGTCGACTCGAACCTCAGGTGCAGGATTATGTTGAGGTTAGAAACTCCACCACGAGAGCTCAGTTGATACAAGTGATATCAAAGTTTGAAGAAAGGTATTCGTCCAGGGAAACTCAGGGTTCGAGAATGAATTACAATAAGGAAAGGTGAGATTGCGATGTGCGTCAGATGTCTACCGACGAGCACAGAAATAGAAATTGGAGGGATGCAGAAGTTGTGGATCGAACAAATGATAGGAGGAATAATTATAGAAGTAATTACGGGAATGGACATCAGAGGACCCAGGGATTCGAGAACAGGAATCAGTTTGACAAAGATGATCGTAGGTTTGATATTAATAATGGACGGTATCAGTCCAGAAATAGGGGTCCGAGTGAAAATTTTAATCGAGAGAACCGGAGACATGGGGGTTGATTAAATGTTTTGAGGGTTCGAGTTGATCAGGATGATCAATTGCAAACTGTAAGGAATCCTCCGATTAGACTTTCAGCTATACGCATGTCTCCAGTAGAACTTCCGTATGTGCCTATTCTTTTGAATGAAACATTTACGAAAGCCCTATGGGATACTGGGGCAGAAAATTCACTTATATCGAAGGAGGTTTATGAAAAGTATTTTTTTATAAACCAGTTAGAAAGTCTCGTGTTGAAGTGGTCACGGCACAAGGAGCCAAATGTCGAAATATAGGGTTAGTTGAATTTCAAATAAGAATACGGGAATTTGTTAAAGCAGTGTTTCTCAAACTGTGGGGTGCGCCCCCTAGGGGGACGCGATAACACTACAAAGGGGGCGCGAGCATATCGAAAATAAAAAGTTAAAAAAAATTAATTTACTGGAATGAAAAAAAACAAAATATTTTCTGACATAATAAAAAAAATACAGATTTACATTGATATGATTTATATATATCATCAGGTGAAAAAACGTCATCAAAAATAAAAGATTCTACTTTAAACGCTCATTAGCTATCTTTGATCCTATAACCAAGTTTAAAAAATATATATTGTTCGCTTTGCTGTAATCGTACGCGATGAGAGATTTTTGAAGTTATACTTCTTTTGGGGCGTTAGAGAAATAGGATGAGGGTAAATTTTTACAATGCTCGCGCGCACCGTCACGGATGCGAAAATCCTTTGTCTAGAAATATACGGAACAGGACAAATCATTCCCGCCTTCGAAATTCTGAGAAAAATAAATCTTTTCACTTCCCTGAAGAAGGGGACACGCGGGTTGGAACCGGAGACCTCTCGATCTGCAGCCGAATGCTCTACCACTGAGCTATACACCCCGTGTCAGAGAGCCCTTGCTTTGCGTTCCGTAGGAACGGATACGAAAATGCTTTGTTTAGAAATATGCAGAACGGGACAGATCACATTCCCGCCTTCGAATTCTCAAAAAATTATTTCTCTTCACTTCCCTGAAAAAGGGAGTATCCGGGTTTGAACCGGAGACCTCTCGATCTGCAGTTGAATGCTCTACCACTGAGCTATACCCCCGCGTCCGCGAACCTTTGCTTTGCGTTCCGTAGGAACGGATACGAAAATACTTTGTTTAGAAATATGCAGAACGGGACAGATCATTCCCGCCTTCGACCCCCTCCCCATATTATTGGTCCTATTGTTCCTGTGCGGGTGTGTTACAATTTATTTAAATCATGATTATCTCAGGTTTGGCTGGTCCAGTTGACTGAAGGTTAGTATTGTTCAATTCTGCTCATGACTGCCTTTCGCCCTTGGCCCAGCGTGCCCTGCTAAAGATTTTTAGAAAGATTTTAATCTTCTTATGCCAAAAAAGTATAACTTCTTACGTGCGTACATAAGTACACACACACTTTTTTATTACGTTTCTTTTAACCTAAAATACTACTTTGCTGACCTTAGAACTTACTGGTATGGTTATCTGCGTCGATTTTTCTTAGGGAAGTTGTAAATTATATAATTCTGTTGCGCCTTTTTCAATATGAAAGAGTTTTATGATATATGGATAAGCATATTGAGCACTTTGAAGAATTATTTGGCCAAGATTTATTTTTATGAGTATTCTGAAACATATAATGCATAATGAAAAACGTTTTACACAATAATACACTTTTAACACAGTAGCGATGCGCATAGTCACCCCAGGATCACGAAATCGTTAATTCTGGGAGAACTGTTTATTTGTTACCAATGACCTTGACAGAATATCCTCCAACATGACTATCTTAATGGGAACTATAAAATGAATTGACCACATATCTCCTTCTTTTTTGGGAGCGGCAAACGTGTTTTAGAATCTTAAGGTACTTGTTTCGACCGAGTTCCCGGCGCGACCACTTTTGTTCAAAAATATTTTCTTGAACATGCTGCACTTTCCCCTATGAATAACCGAATGGTTTTAATTGTGATGTTGTACGACAGATTTTGGTTTATAAATGCAAATGAGCAGAATAAAAAAAGAAAGGGGCATTTGTGATCTCTCTGAAAGGAAATTGAAACTCATCAATCAAGGAAAACACTTGCTGAAATAATGCATATTAATCATGATAGCAAAAGTAAATTTGAGAAAAGCAATGAACATGAAACGAGAGAAAAATTTTCAATAGCTACATTAAGAACTCCATCAAGAAAAATATAAAGCCATAAATGTACCGCAAGATGCACTTCACCCTGTCAAAAAGACACAAGCAAGAAAAATTCAACAGGATATTTGTCGATCATCAAAGGACATTAAAACAACAATAACGTGAATGTTTGAGTGACAGTTTTGCTTGCAAATAACATTCCTGTAATGTTAGCAAAAAGTTCTGTGACTTGTGTCCTTTATTAAGGTCACGCACATTTGGAACAATTTAGTTCAGTTTTATTGGATTTTTTCTCAAATTATCAAA